AACATATTGAGTATTTCTAATCTAAAAATCTGAAATCTGAAATGCTCCAAACTCCAAAACCTTTAGAGCACTAATCTGATGTGCAAAAGAAATATAGAGTATTTCAGACTTTAGAATGTTAGATTAGGGATGTTAAACCAGTGTGTACTCTGCAAATATTCTAAAATTTAAAAAAATCCAAAATCCAAAACAGTTTTGGTCCCAAGCATTTCAGATAAGACATACTCAAGCTGTATTGCTAGATTCAGTTTGTGTTTGTTCATTTTCTACCTACAACCTTGGTCTGTAGTTTTCTTTTCTTCTAGACACCTTTGTCTGAATTTGGTATTAGGGTAATACTGAACTCATAGAAAGAGTTGGGAAATCCTCCTTCCTTTTCTATTTTTTGTGAATAACTGGTAATAATTATTTTAATGTGCAATAGAATTCACAAGTGAAGCCATTACTAATATGATTTCTTTACTTGTCATAGACCTATTCAAACTTTCTGTTTTCTTTTAGTAATTCCTATAACTTGTATCTTTCTAGGCATTTGTCCATTTCATCTTGGTCCTATAATTTGTTGGCATTAGCTAGTTAATCATATGAGATCGCTGGCTTCAGCACATAATTATAACTATTCATTATTCTCGTAACTAGTGACACTGAGAATTTTTTTTTAAGGCCATTAACTATTTGTTCTTCTTTTGTTAAATACTTCTTCATGTACATTAATGGATGCAGTGTTTTTAACTTTACATTTATAAGAATACTAACCCTTTGTTTATTTGATTTGTGGAAACTATCTTTACAATTTGTCTTTTAAGGGGAAACCTTCAGAACTTTGAAAATTTTTATAGTCAACAGTTGCAATCATTCCCATATGATTTCTTCCATTATTTTGTAGCTTACATGCTATTTTCCCACAGACTTGAATTCAATTCCAATTCAGACTTTTATAGTTTGATTTTCTTTACATTTCTGTTTACACATCAATCTGATATTTAATCAACCTATAACTTATCTGATATACATTATAAAGAAGCTGAAATTTTATCCAAACAGCTAACCAACTATCCCACCACCATTTATTGACTAATCTCTCCCTTAACATGAAAATATTTCTTCATATATTTCTAAATGTATGATGGAGTACTTTCAAGCTATACTGGCCCCGTTATTCTCATTATTTAGGTTATGGTTCTGAATTTAATTATGTGGCTTTAATAAAATACATTTTGTAGTTTCATATAGTGTGAAAATATTTCCTGGGACAAAGTATTTTACAATTGCCAGATAAGTCTTCTTTCTCATGGCTATCTTATTTAATAATTCTAAATTAACATTGTAATGTGTCAAATTCCCTAAAATGCCTTTGTTAGGATTTTGAGTTAAGCACATAGCATAAGAGATTGGCTTAGAGTTAAGCACATAGCATAAGAGAAATTGATCTTTGTAATATTCCATCTGACCATTCCAGTATTATGTCCTAATTCTTCATATTCTACAAATCAACTTCTAATTTTCCTATACTGTCTTACGTTTTTTCTTATTAAGACTATTCCTGGTTAGTTAAGGGTTTCTGTAGCTATATTGAATAGGATCTTCTTTATCTATTATATAACTGGTTGTTTATATATAGAATGCTATCAATTTTTTGTACATCTGTGATTTATTTGGACATTTATTGAATTCTTTCACTAATTCTGTCTTTTCAAAAATTATATCAAAAATAATATTTTGAACTCAGTGCAAATTATGCCTCAGTATATTATATATCAGTTTGCATCAGTAAATGCAAACACATTCAATTGCGTATTTTCTTTTTTTTTTTTTTTTTTTGAGACGGAGTTTCGCTCTTGTTACCCAGGCTGGAGTGCAATGGCGCGATCTCGGCTCACCGCAACCTCCGCCTCCTGGGCTCAGGCAATTCTCCTGCCCCAGCCTCCTGAGTAGCTGGGATTACAGGCACGCGCCACCATGCCCAGCTAATTTTTTTATTTTTTTTTTTAGTAGAGACGGGCTTTCACCATGTTGACCAGGATGGTCTCGATCCCTTGACCTCGTGATCCACCCGCCTCGGCCTCCCAAAGTGCTGGGATTACAGGCTTGAGCCACCGCGCCCGGCCCCAATTGCGTATTTTCATACAAAATAGGGGAAGGGAAAGAAGCAAAGCAATACTAAAATTTATTGAGAGAACACCAAGTGATAGGCACAATAATAAATACTATATATACATTATCTCTTTAATGAAGTACATGTGAGGTGGTTAAGAAGCAAGCTTATGAAGCAAACTAGGCTTGGATTTGAACCTGACTCCCAATTCCCAGCTATGTGAACATGAATAAATTTGAGTAATATTATATCTCAAAGAACAAGATTCTTTATCTTTAATTTGGAAATCTAATACTTCATGAAGTTGTGATGAAAATTAAATTACATATATAATTAAATTACATATATAAATATATAAATATAAAATTATATATATATATATATATATATAAATGCTTAGAAAATGACAGGTATTTGTGAGACACAAATCAAATTTATATCTGTTTTATCCTTTTGAGCAAAAAAAAATACTAGATTTCTCTAAATAGGCATTACACATTATCATAAATTATATAAATTAACTTACTATTTGAGGCTGCAAATAAACACTGGGAAAAGTCTCTTTTCTTCATGTCAACTTTTTAAAAAGTTATTTATAAAGATGATGTGTGAAATTGCATTTTATTGTACAAAACATCAAATTTCCTTGAAAACCAGTAGTATCCCAAATATTTAGGATGCTGTTAATAAAGGCCATTCTGATCTTTTTTACTTATTCAATTATAATCATAAGGAGTTAAGTGGCATCCCACACAAACAGCTTTATTCTCAGAGTATTCTATTTAAACAACATGTATGAACAGTTTTTCTGATGGAGAAACAGAATCTTAAATGAGTGCTAACTAATTGGTTCAGGTCTCTGGTATTAAATACCTTGCAATTAAAAAATATTTGATAATTTCTCCCACTTTGCCTTTTAGCATTAAGTGAGTTACTTTACTAAATAAAGTACCTTATTCTGTAGAGTACATTATCCCTGATTGATTCATCTACGTGGAAGACATGGTTGGGTGGATACCAGATCCTTTCTGTTTCACTCATTAAAGCAAACATATTATGATACAAAGGTGTGATGCCTAGAAAAGAAGCAGAAAAAGAAATTATTAAAGGTATATAGCAGAGTATTTACATAGCACCTATAATTTGTAATGAGGCTGAAGTAACAACTCTTAAAATCAGAACAAAATGTAGTAGCAGTCAAAATCTTTTGATATACTACCACTTACAACTGAATTATTAATCACACTTTAATACAAACATACTTCATTTTATTGCACTCTACGTTATTGCAATTTGCAGATATTGTGGGGTTTTTTCTTTACAAAATAAGGATTTATGGCAACTCTGGATCTAGTTAAGTCTGTCAGCACCAGTTTTCCAACAGCATGTGCTCACTTTATGTCTCTATGTCACATTTTGGTAATTCTTGCAATATTTCAGACTTTTTCATTATTATTATTATATCAGTTACGGTAATCTGTGATCAGTGATCTTTCAATTACAATTATAATTGTTTGGAGCCACCATGAAGCATGCCCACATAAGATGATAAACAGAAGCAATAAATGCTATGCGTGTTCTGACTACTCCAGCAATAGCCATTCCTGTCTCTCTCCCTTTCCTTGGGCCTCTCTATTCCCTGAGACACACAAAATGGAAATTAGGCCAAGTAACAATCCTACAGTGGCCTCCAAGCATTCAAGGGAAAAGAAGAGTTGCATATCTCTTACTTTAAGACAAAAGCTAGAAATGATAGTGAGGAAGGTATATCAAACACCAAGATAGGCTAAATGCCAGGCCTCCTACACCAGTCTGAATGCAAAGAAAAAGTTTTTGAATGAAATTAAAAGTGCTACTGCAGTGAATACATAAATGGTGAGAGCAAAACAGCCTTATTGATGATATGACAAAAGTTTGAGTGGTGTAGAGAGAAGGTCAAACCAGCCACAGTATTCTCTCAAGCCAAACCCTAAGCCAGAGAAAGACCCTAATTCTCTTCAAATCTATGAAGCCTGAGAGAAGTGAGGAAGCTGCAGAAGAAAAGTAGGAAGCTAGCAGAAGTTAGTTCAAGAGGTTTAACTAAAGAAATCATGTCCCTAACATAAAAACACGAGGTGAAGCAGCAAGTGTTGATGGAGAGAATGCAGCAAGTTATCCAAAGATCTGCAAGGATCACGGATGAACAACAGATTTTCAGTGTAGACAAAACAGGCTTCTATTGGAAGATGATTTCTAGTAGTTTCATAGCTAGAGACAAGTCAGTGGTTCACTTCAAAGTTTCAAAGAACTGAATGACTCTCTTCTGAGGAGCTAATGCAGCTGGTGACTTTTAGTTGAAGCCAGTGCTTACTGATCATTCTGAAAATGTATGGCCCTTAAGAACTATGCTCAATTACCCTGCCTGTGCTCTATAAATAGAACAACAAAGCCTCGAAGACAGCACATCTGTTTATAGCATGGTTTATTGAGTACTTTAAGCCACCGTTGAGACTTAAAGCTCAGAAAAGATTTCTCTCAAAGTATTGTTAATCGTTGACAATGCACCTGGTCTCCCAAGAGCTCTGATAAAGATGTACATTGAATTTCATGTTGTTTTCATGTCTGCTAACACAACATCCATTCTGCAGCCCATGGATCAAGGAGCAATTTGAGTTTCAAATCTTATTATTTGGGAAACACATTTTGTAAGGTTATGGCTGTCATAGTGTTTCCTCTCATGGATCTAAGCAAAGTAAAGAAAAACTTATGGAAAGGATTCACCATTCGAGACATCATGAAAAACATTAATTGTTCATGAGAGGAGGTCAAAATATCGACGTTAACAGGAGTTTGAAAGAAGTTGTTTCTGACTCATGGATGTCTTTGAGGGATGTAATCTTCAGTGGAGGGAGTCACTAGGATGTGGTAGAAATGGCAAAAGAACGAGAATTAGAAGTAGAGCTTGCAGATGTGACTGAATTGCTGTAATCTCATGATAAAACTTGGATGGATGAGGAATTGCTTTTCATGGATGTGCAAAGAAAGTGCTTTCTTGAGATGAAATCTATTCCTGGTGAAGATGCTGTGAATACTGTTGAAATGACAACAATGGATTTATAATATTACATCAACTTAGTTAACAAAGCAGTGGCAGGGTTTGAGTGAATCGATCCCATTTTCAAAGAAGTTCTACTGCAGGTAAAATGCTATCAAGTAGCACTGCATACTACAGAGACATCTTTCACGAAAGGGAAGAGTCCACTGATGCAGCAACTTCACTGTTGTCTTATTTTAAGAAATTGCCATAGCCACCCCAACCTTCAGCAGTCGCCACCCTGGTCAGTCAATAGCCATCAACATAAAGGCAAAAGTCTCCACCAACAAAAAGATGATGACTCACTGAAAGCCCAGATGATTGTTAGTGTTTTTTGACAATAAAATATTTTTTAATTAAGGTGTGTACTTTATGGACATAATGCCATTGCCTACTTAACAGACTACAGAATAATTTAAACATAATTTTTATATGCACTGGGAAACCTAAAACTTCATGTAATTTGCTTTACTGCAGTATGTGCTTCACTGTGATAGTCTGGAACCAAACCCACAATATTTCCAAGGTACGTAAGTATTTTAAAATATGAATGCTGAGACTCTTTCAAGCAAATATTTTTAAAACATTTCATCCAGTTTTTTCAGTTGTCCTCTGCAGAATGGTTGGTTCAACTTTTCAAGTTTCTCTGAACTGGAGGCATAATAGGAATCCATGCTTGTATGTGGTTGCATGGAGGGAGTTGTTTTAATTAATAAGTATAAAATCACAAAAATATTTAGAGGTCATGAATACTTTCAAAAGAATAATGTAAGTTTTATTTTAAAACGTCAAGTTTTACATAATACACTAAAATTATACCCTTTGTACTATTTTAATTTACAATGAAAAATTTTAAATGTCAACTTAAAATATGAGTGCATACCTAAGTTCTTAAGATATTTTAGAAGGTACATTAACAAAAGGTTGAAGGCCACTGAACTAAAAAACCAAGAGAATACCTAAACCACGCAAGTAAGCAATACAAGCTATTTTCAAGCGTATACAGAACATTCACATATGTGCATACATGTACACACACAAGCACAAACACAACAATCACATGAACCTCATCAAAACAAGTCTATAGAAGTTCCACAGAATAATTATACATACCATGTTCTCTAACCATACTTCAATTAAATCAGAAATGAATATGTAAAAAAAAATTTAATCCTATATATTTAAAACATAAGGCTCGTTTTAACTATTTTTTCCACTGTGGATAGAAATGACACATATGACAAACTGACAACAAAGACTTAAATTCTGAATTATTAACATGACCATCTACTTACAGATGTGTAATAATTTCAGTAAGTTATTTAGAATAACATTATTCAGTAGCAACTTTTAAACCGTATACTTGCATTCATTCTTTTATTTACAAATAACTTTCAAACAACTCAGAGGTCAAAGGAAAATACATTAAGAAGCATTTATAATGAATAATGATTATCAATATCATGTATTAAAAATCGTGGAATACAACTAAGCGAAATTCAAAAGCAAAAAAATTGTAGCTTTATATGTTTGTATTAGAAAATAAGAGCAAATGATCTAAGTATCTCACTCAACAGAGAAGACAATTGAGTAATCACAAAGAAAGGTTAAAGATGGGCATAATAAAAATTCAGTAGAGAGAAGTGACAAAATAAAAGATGATTCCTTGCAAAATAGATCTTTGTGAAGTATAAGAAAAAAGAGTCACACGGTGGCTCACGCCTGTAATCCCAGCACTTTGGGAGGCCGAGGTGGGTGGATCATGAGGTCAAGGGATCGAGACCATCCTGGTCAACATGGTGAAACCCCGTCTCTACTAAAAATACTAAAAATCAGCTGGGCCTGGTGGTACGTGCCTGTAATCCCAGCTACTCAGGAGGCTGAGGCAGGAGAATTGCCTGAACCCAGGAGGCGGAGGTTGCGGTGAGCCGAGATCGCGCCATTGCACTCCAGCCTGGGTAACAAGAGCGAAACTCCGTCTCAAAAAAAAAAAAAAGAAAAAAAGAAAAAAGAGGCACAAACACTAAGAACTTTTAAAAAGCATAATTATGGGTTATGAAGACAAAGAGTGCTAGAACAACATTATGCCAATAAACTTGAAAACATAGACAGATGGACAATTTTTGTAAAAATGTAACTTTAAAAAGATTCTTAAATTTAAAACTTCAATAGAACTATAATTATTAAAGAAATAGACTCTGGCAGGTGCAATGGCTCATGCACTTTGGGAGACCCAGGCAGGTGGATCACCTGAGGTCAGGAGTTTGAGCCCAGCCTGGCCAACATGGCGAAACCTTGGCTCTACCAAAAATACAAAAATTAGCCAGGTGTGGTGGCCGGTGCCCACAGTCCAGCTATTCAAGAGGCTGATGCAGATGAATCACTTGAACCTGGAAGGCGGTGGTTGCAGTGAGCCATGATCATGCCACTGCACTCCAGCCTGGGCAACAGAGTTGAGACTCAGTCTCAAAAAAAAAAAAAAAAAAAAAAAGGAAGCAGGCTCTATCAACTTAAACAAAAAAGAAAAGAAAGGACGAGGAGGGAAGAGAAGAAGGAAAGGAAAAATAACAAAGAAGAAATGAAAAACCACTATCAGGCCCAGAGAAGATTTATATGTGAGTTCAACCAAGCCTGAAAGACAACTCCATCTTAAGTATACCATCACAGAGAATAGACTAAGAGGGAACAGATAAATTAACACATTTTGTGAATTTAGTTTGACTATGATACCAAGGGTAATCTCGCCAATATAGATAGAAAAATCTTAAGTTCACTTCTGTGATTATAGAAGTAAAAGAGTAACATCAGTGAAAATGGTGGAGTAGGTAGTTCTGAGGGCCTATCTTTCTCCACAGAAATAGGGAAAAAAAATGAGTAAAAACTGTCTGAGTGAACTTCATATAAACTATAGAAAATAAGCAAAGATATGCAGCAATCAGATAAATGCTGAATCAAGAAAACAGCAACTTAAAAACGGCAGGAAAGTTGTGTCGCATTTTTACTTTCCCTGAACCACCACGCCCCTGCCCTGCCCACCGACCCCTGCTCCACTCCCCCTAGTTAAGCAAAGTCTTGAAGATGGTAATTGGTGTTACCAGTGTGAAACTCTGATCCCTGACTGTAGAGTGAACAGAGCCGACCTTAATCTCAAAAAACTGTTTTTCTCTCTTTTGACCTGACTGGAGACTGACTGAAGAAATGATGCAAACAGCACACCTATGTTCCACTTAATTCAGGACTTTCTCAGGGCAGAAAAGCAGCTGCATAGAAGACTCATTGAAAACACTGCAAATGAACAACCTGTTGCTATATAGGGCAGCAGTCTAAAGTTAAGGCAAACAATAAACACACTAAAAGCTAAAAAAGAGATGAGATAATAGAGTTTCTTTGGGAAATGACAGCACTGAAAAGCATCTCTATGTACTGGAGAACAGAAAAGCCACATGCATGCCCAAAGAAGGGCACTTAGAAAAGACCCTAAGCTTTCATCTCAGGCTGCTCTTTAGGGTCAGCACAAGGAGGAAGGGAAGGCTAAGGCAGAGTTGTAAATGGACTGAGTAAACACTGAATGAATGCCCCCAACACAGAACCAATCTTCAAAGACTGAAAGAGTTTTTTGTTCTTTTCTATTATTTCCTTTTGGCTCCAGGAATTCAATAAAATCTGTTAAAAAAAAAAAAAAAATCTTACTACAAGCTAAAGGATCAGAGATTTCAGAGACTACACACACCAAAAAATATAGACTTGACAATACAGTTAAAATAGGTAACTAGAGGTCTCTCATATCCACTTCCCCCATTAAAAACTAAAAACATGAACATGTAATCACACTTTGAGTAGATTATCCAAGAGGAACACCGATATTCAACAAAAAATGGACAGAAAACACCTAAACCAAGGAAAGAGAGGGAAACAAGACAGCCTGCTCAGCCGGGATTGACAAGAAGCTGGGAAAGAATCCACATGGGAAAAGAGTAAGTAAGAGATGCCCAATGATCCACATTCTTACTGTGAACCCCTGCAATTTTAGTCACAGGAGAGCCCCTAGACCCTTGCAGGACACAAAACTAACATAGGGGGCTTTCCAGAGACAGCACAAAAGCATTGCCTATTCCAGTGAGGAAGCTCACACTGGGTCCCACACTCCCCCTGAGTCCTAAGCAGCTACAGCAAGGTGATATTTTTGGGAATCCAGCCCTCAACAGAATGTGTACTGCCCTGGGGCCCAGTGGGGCCATAAAAAAGAATGAAATTGTGTCATTCACAGCAACCTGGATGGAACTGAAGATCAGGTGTCAAGTGAAATAAGCCGCATACCGAAAGACAAATATACAAGTTCTCATTCATATGTGAGGGCTTAAAAAAAAAGGTGATCACATGAAGGTAGAGAGTGGACTGGTAGAAGAGACTGGTAAAGTTATATGGGTAGGAAGGGGGAAATGAAGAGATGTTGGTTAATGGGCACAAAAATCCAGACAGAAGGGATAAGTTCTAATGTTTGATAGAAGAATAGGGTGACTACAGTTAACAACAATGTATTTTTCAAAATAGATAGAAAGAACTTGAAATGAACCTAGCTTCCTCCAACTTACAGTTAATGGCTATTCTGACCTATACTGATCTGTTAACCTCATCTACATTCTTGAGAGAATAAACTGATGTTATCACACATTCTTACAAATACTATATTAGACATTTAATTTATCTCTACAAATAAAATCATACTACTATTCTTCAAAACAAAACAAAGACATAGATCAATTAGATGAGATTCCATAGGTGCTATAGTAACCTCAGTGGTCCAGTAGAACTTGTCAGCTCTACAGAAAGAATTCTCCGGTTCATAGTTTTGGTCCATAGACAACATAATCAGGTCTCAAAAGTAAAAATGATTTCAAGATACATCAAAGAAATAAGAAAAACATCTATGAGGAAAGATTAACAGGGGTCTCTTCAGAAGCTAACAAGAAGAAAATGATGGTTTATCAACCATTTAATTAAGATTTTAAATCAAATACATATTTCAAAATATTCTTTGCTTTCATGTTGCTCTTAGGATCTAGCTTTAAGATTAACTTATGTCATGGGCTAGACCATGACAGGATTCTTTAGCCACCTTATATGTAATTATAAAGAATACTCAGCAAATATTTATGGTCGTCAGTTTGTTTTAATACCAACCCCAAGAAAGATTCACCATAAATTGTACTATAGTAATGCTTTCATTTTCTATGCATGTGAAAACACACATCTCGACCATGTAAGCATTAATATATACATATATATATATAAAATGCATATACCCAGTATTAGCATAGCATAATTAAAACAATAATCCATGGATAAAAAGGAAAATGCTGTTTTTTAATACTTACCACAAGCTTTAGAAGCAGCAATACAGATTTCTTCTGCAACATATTCCCCAGATGGAAATGTCAGATAATCTGCCTCAGCTTTCCCAAGGGAATGGTAAAGATACACCTGAAGGACCGGATCTATTTGCTTTATAGAATTGACATTTCCAGAAATATCACCATTCTGATTTATAGAAGATGTGGATGTTCCCTCCATTTCTGTCATTGTAAGGCAAGCCATTCCCATGCAGAGTCTTTTTCAGAACATTTACCTGTAAGAGAAAACAATGAAGTTACTAATGGGCCGGATGCAGTGGCTCACACCTATAATCCTAGCACTTTGGGGGTCCAGGGTGGCAGATAGGTTGAGCTCAGAAGTTGGAGACAAGCCTCAGCAACGTGGTGAAACCTCATCTCTACAAAAGCATACAAAATACACACACACATTAGTCAGGCATGGCAACACACACTTGTAGTCCTAGCCACTCAGGGAGCTGAGTGGAAGAACTGCTTGAGCCTGGGAGGTCGAGTCTGCAGTGAGCTGCCATACTCCACTGCACTCCAGTCTGGGTGATACAGCAAGACCCTGTCTCAAAAAGTAATTAATTAATTAATTAATTAATTAAAGTTACTAATGGAAATAATATTGATAAGGCATCCTTCATATACAAAGAAGGACTGCTCCTTGACAGCAATGACTGTCAAATCCATTAACTGAATAAATATCGTGTACTGCTATGTACAAAGCACAATGTAAGAAATCACAGATTTTAAACTTCCTATGGACATTTAAAGGATTATGAAATTCCAGTTAACAACCTAATTGAGGACAATGATATAAATTCCTAACATGAACAAAACAAATAAGCATTAAACTCAGTTATAGATAACAGAAGAAGAGATTTCAAATTAAGAGAAGGGGAGTCCAGAAGGCTGACTAGAGGTATCTCGTACTCGCCTCCTCCACGAAGAAGAACCAAAATTGCGAGTAATCACACTTTGAATAGGTCATCTAAGAGCGAAAACTGGAATTCAACAGAGAAGTGAAAGGAAACACCTAAAGCAAGGAAGGAGAGGGAAGTGAGGCAGTCTGCTTGACCAGGATCAGCCAGAAGCCTAGAGAGCCTGCACAATGTGAATAAAGAGTAAGTGAGAGACTCCCAGTGGCCCACATTTTCACCACAAACTCCTGCAATCCCAGACATAAGAGAGCGCCTCAACTCTCATGGGCCCAGGGAGTAACCTAGGGAGCTGCCTGGAGACTGCACAATGACATTGCTTTAGAGAAGAAGTTTACGCTGGTCCAACACACTCCCAAGTCCTAAGCAGCTACAACATGGTGCTATTTTTAAAGCCTAACCCCCACCAGCATGCATCCTGCCCTGGACCCCAAAAGCCCCTGCAATGTCACATCCCTAGAGCCCCACTGATATCCTCCACCCAGTCACCTCCACTACTGGCTGCTGCCTATGGGGCCAAAGCACAAGCCAGTGGCAGTGACCCTGCAGAAGGACTGCCATACATTTGTATGTGCCCTGAGGGCAAGCTCTATGACTCACAGCTGCAACCATGGCAGGTTGCTGCCGCCAGGTGTCAAAATGCAAATTTGCATGCACCCTGAGGACAGCTCTATCACATCTTCAGCCTCCACCTATAGCTGCAGTGCACACTCCCTAGCTACCTCCCTACAACTGTTCCCACTGAGAGCAATCCCACCATCCCCAGCATCAGGGCCACAGCAAAATCACTGCCACCCCCACCTGAACATTCCATCAGGAGACTGGAAATTATCCTGCTCCTGCCCATCACAAACAGCACCTGCTCACACCACTGGAGGACCTGAGGATACTCTCACCCCGCCCAGCTCAGCACGCCACTCCCAAGGACTTAAGCATGTTATCTGGGGTCCTTGGGATCACACCACTTTGTTCATATCCAATGTCAACTGAGCATTGCACCTGGAGGTCTGAGGATGTGGCCCACCTAACTTGCTACTACCACCACAGCTGGTACCCACTCACACTTGCCACCTGACTTGCCTATGCAGTATATCACAGTCACCGCCAACATAAGCCCAAACAACTGGAGAGCCAGAAGGTTGTCCTACCACTACTACTGACATGGCCCATGTCATGCTCACTGCCCATGGGCCTGTGGACCCACCCAACTGCCCAGCCTATCACTACCACTGCTGGCACCCAAACAAGTCACCTGTAGACCCAAAAATTGGCCTGCCTGCACTCACTAACACCATTTCCAAAGTAAGCCACCCTGTGGCTAATGTACAGGCATGTTTGTCCCACTGCTGCCAACACTGAAGACTGAGAATCAGTCCAGCAGGTGTCACCATTCCCAGCAAAAGTTCACCACAGTATCCGCTAACAACTATACACTAAGCCACTGAGGAAATCACAGACGCCACTGATGCTGTTTACAGGGGAAAAAAAGTCTTACAGAGACTACACTACTAAATGTATCCAGATTCAAAGCCAAAGTGCCCTAGGCAACCAATACCCCAGACAAATCTTCAGGAAAAAGTCCTACCCTGTGAAAGCAAATTTAAAAAAAAATGGAAGTTTCTATTACACCAGATGTGTAGATATCAAAGTAAGGGCACAGGAAACATGGAGATATAAGGAAATATGACATCTCCAAAGGATCACAATAATTTTCTACCAAAAGATTCCAGTGCAGAAGAAATTCATAAAATGCCAGAAAAAGAATTAAAAATGATATTGAAGAAGCTCAGGAGATACGAAAGAATACAGATAAACAATACAAAGAAACCAGAAATACATTTCAGGATATGAATGAGAAATTTACCAAAGAGAAACATAACATTTAAAAAGAAAACCAGACGCCAGGGGTGATGGCTCATGCCTGTAATCCAAGCACTTTGGGAGGCCAAGGCGAGTGGATCACCAGAGGTCAGGAGTTTGAGACCAGCCTGACCAATATGGAGAAACCCCATCTCTACTAAAAATACAAAATTAGCCAGGTGTGGTGGTGCATGCCTATAATCCCAACTACTTGGGAGGCTTAGGCAGGAGAATCACATGAACCAGGGAGGTGGAGGTTGCTGTGAGCCGAGATAGAGCTACTGCACTCCAGCCTGGGCTACAAGAGCAAAACTCCATCTCAAAAAATAAAAAATAAATAATTAACTAGAATCCTGAAACTGAAGAATTCATTTAATGAAATAAAAAAATACATTCTAGAGCATCTATAATAGACTAAATTGAGCAAAGAAAGAATTTCAAAACTTGAAGACACGTCTTCTGAAATAACCCCATTAGCCAAAAAGAAAGAAAAAAGAATGGACAAAACCTACATAACATATGGGATATCATAAAGCAGCCTAGTATCAGAATTTTCAGTATTCTAGAAGACTGAAAATACAAAAGGTAGAGAAAACCTGGTTAATGAAATAATAACTGAAAACTATCCCAGTATAGCAAGAGATTTAGACATCCAGATACAGAAGCTCAGAGATCTCCAAAAAGACAAAATTCAAAAAGACCTTCTCCACAACACATTAGAGTTAAACTGCCGACAAAGACAAAGAGAATTCTAAAAACAGTAAGAAAAAAGTGTCTAGTCACTTCTAAGGGAAGCTCCATCAGACTAACAACAGATTTCTAAGCAGAATCATTATAGGCCAGGAGAAAATGAAATGATATATAAAAAGTGCTGAAATTTAAAAAGAAAAACAAAAAAACCTGCAAGCCAAGGATAATATACCCAGCAAAAATTCATTAAGCAAAGGAAAAATAGTCTTTCTGACGCAAGCAAAAGCTGAGGAAATTCAACACCACTCGACCAGACCTACAAGAAATGCCTGAGGGAGTGCTACATCTGGGAAGTGAAAGAACAATATCAGGCCAGGCACAGTGGCTCAGGCCTATAATCCTAGCACTTTGGGAGGCTGGGGCCGGCAGACTCCTTGAGCCCAGGAGTTCAAGACCAGTCTGGGCAACATGGGAAAACCCCATCTCTACAAAAAAAAAAAAAACAAATAATTAGCCAGGCATGGTGGCGTGATTCTGTATTCCCAGCTACCTGAGAAGCTGGGGCAGGAGGATCACTTGAGACCATGGAGGCTGAGGCTATGGTGAGCCATGATGGCACCACTGCACCCCAGCTTGGACAACAAAACAAGAGCAAGACCCTGTCTCAAAAAAGAAACAAACAAACAAAAAGACAGTTACTATCATCATGAAAAATAGATGACAAAATTACCAAACCCACTGGTAAAGCAAACACAGAGACAGACAAGAAAGGATCCAAATGTTCTCATTATAGAAAACCAACAAACCACAATGCTAAACAATATGAGAGAAAGAAAAGAAGAAAGGACTTACAAAACAACCAGAAATCAATTAATAAAATGACAGGAATAAGCCTTCACATATCAATAATAAATTTGAACGTAAATAGATTAAACTTTCACTTAAAAGAT